TTAAAGTTATAATTATTAATATTAATAGCCTTTTAAATATATTTAATAAATTTAATTTTACTTTAATTTTCTTTAAATAATTTATTTTTAACTTTAGACTTAATATTATTATAATAGATTTCTTTTTTTATTTCTTTAGTTTAATTAACTTTAGTAAGCAAGCATAAAAAGGTAATAGTATATTTAAATAAAGCTCCTTTTTATTATAAAAACCTAAGGTCTTTTTTTACTTTTTATTTTTTATTTATAATTCTAAAGGATTTTTTTAATTAATTTTTAAAGGTTTTATAATTACTAAAGATCTTGCTTATTTATATTTTTATTTTAGTAGGTTTTTCCTTTATAGCATTATAGTTTATTAAAATAAGCCTAAACTATTTAACAGCAATTTCTATAAGGCAGTTAGCTATAAAGAAAACTTAATTCTTATTATCTTCTAAATTAGTTAAAAAGTAACTAAAATAAATATTTAATTTAATAAAAAATTTATTTATCTTTAAAGTATTTTTATTAAAGTTATTAAATTATTTAAGCCTAAGGATTTCTTTTTTTTCCTTTTTTTTATTTTTTAATTAATTCTTTAGCTTTTTAATTTATAAAAAAAGTAAATTAATTACTATTTACTTTAAAGTAAGTAGTAGATATTATTTTTAAGTTTCCTTATATATAGAAATAGTTTTTTATTAACTATTGCCTGTTATATTTCTATTATTGCCTATAGGTCTAGTAATTATTTAAATAAAAGTTATTAATATATAATAAACTATATATTAATTAGTTAATATAGAATAAATTCCTAAAAGATAAACTTAAAATAAGTTCTTTAGGTTTATATTAGCAGATAAGTTAAAAAACCTATAGGCAATAATATTATAATAATAGTTACTAGTAAAGATTAAAAAAGCTTTTTAATCTATAGGTATAGAATTATATTAATAACTAGCTATTTAAGTTATTTAAAGGGAGTGTAAAAAGTAAACTTATATATTTAATTAGCTGGATGTCCTTAATGTATTTAATAGTTAAGTTTATTAAGTTATATTTAGTATACTTAATAATAGATTTTATTAAGTGGTTTATAATTAGTTAATAGATTAAGGTTAATTTATTTATGCCTACCCAGTAGGCTTATTATTGCAACCTTAAGTATTGGGTTGTAATATATATTTTAGCTTATTAAATTATTTAAATAATATAATAATTTTTATATAATTAATAAATTAGTTTTATATTAATCTAGTTCTGCCTACCCTGTAGGCTTATTGTTATAACTATAAAAGCTAGGTTACAATAAGCTTTAGTAAAATAAATATTTTTAATAATAAAAAAGTTATAATATTAATATAATTTTAACTAGCTTTACTTTAAGTTAATAGTTTTTATTTAAAATTTAAAATTAATTAATAAAAATAATTATTTTAAATTTAAAATTAATTAATAAAAATAATTATTTTAAATTTAAAATTAATTAATAAAAATAATTATTTTAAATTATATTATTTAAATTTATATAGTTTGTATATATTACTATTTTATTAATAATTAATATATTATTCTAGTTAAATAACTAATAAATAAACAAACAAAAGTATTTTATTATAGTATAGTTTTTTTTTATAATATACTATCTTTAAAAATTTTTAATATATAACTAATAGTATTTTTAATAAAATTAATTATTACTTTTAAAAAAATAAAATTAAATTTAAAATTAAATTAATTTTAAATAAAAGATTATAATTAAAATATTTTTTATTGTTAGTATTAAAAAAAAGTTAGTAATTACTTTATAAAAGTATTTATTTAATAAATAGTTTTAACTTAACTTATATTTTAATTTATACTTGAAGATTTATATATAAATTAATATAAAAAATTGAAAATAAAAAGCCCTAACTTATTTACTTTACTTTTACTATAGATTCTTGAAGCAGGTGTTTTTATTACTTTATTAGTAGTACCTAGGACTTTTGCATTAAGCCGATCTGGCGCAATGTGTATTACTATGCCTTTTGCAAAGAAGGGCGTTAACACTACCGACGGGGACCATATATACAATAACGAAATAGGTCCACAGTCGCTCGGTTTCGAGACCGAGGCATGGTACTCAACGCAAGAGCTTTCCTTCCTAAGAGATTAAATTGCCGCATTAGCAAGCAAAACTCTGCATAACAAGTGACAGCGAGGATTAACTTGCAGCGCAAGCGCAGTGTGGTTGGCGCAGAATAAAAATCGGCAACACACAAGCGAGGACTCGAGGTGGCTTCATTACCATGACGTTGTTGCCAATGGCTTCAAAAACTAAAAGAATCATTCATGACGCGCAGAATCACAAGGCAAATGCATAGAAAAGAGCGCGACGAGGGATAGAACAATGAGCATTCCTCAACGATGAAAAGCAAAAGGAAATATTTAGTACTCAGGTTCACCGTCGTCTGCTGACTTGCGCGGAACACAGCAAGTAACTCCGCGCCTTTCCAACTCCTCGTTATATGCCCGAGTTTTGGCTCTATCCTCTTCTGTAAACTTCCTGGGAATATTCTCCGCATCGGGGTGGAACATATCCCAACGGGATATGTTGCGGCCGTCGGCGGTGAGCAATCTCTCGGGCATCGGTAGACCATCGTAATATTCTCTGATCTGCGTTGGATTGAGGCCAACTGCATCAAGAATATTCCGTTCGTTGTCAAAAGTGCGAAGCACACCATCGTAGCCCAATGAACTTATGCCATGTCCGTCTGGATCCTTCTTCATCGATCTTTTTATGTCGCGCAGAGACATGTTGTCGCCCACAGGCTGTCGGTCTGCGACGGCTTGGGGTATGATCGGGCCCTACATTTGGATGATTGAATAGTTAGCATACTAACAAATGAGAGAGTTCGAGGAGTACTTGCTGGCAGTTTGTCAGCCATATCGCCAGCGAGTTGATGCAAGTAATAACAGCGCGGACTCGTGGAGATTTTAAGGAAGAATCACGCTTTTCAAATGCAGCGCATGGTATATCCTCTCCTAATATATATGCCCAGGAAAAGGCAACGCAGCAGGATGAAGACATATAAGATATAAGGCGTGAGAAGTGGGGTGTGACGACCAACAAGCAAGGTCGATTGCTTGGGGCCAGGCATGCGCACCCATTTGGATTACATAAGACACCAGGATGACTCAACAAGAAGAGAGCTGTGCCAAGACCAAGGAGAGCTGTGCAGTACAACTCATAAAGATGACAGCACTTGATGAAGGATGAAGGAGTATTTGATTCAGATAGTTCCCTTGACCAGACAGTCTTTAACTTCATACTTCAGCGATCAATCTAAGTATTATTCTCACCCATCACTTAAACTGGTCACTCCATTAACAAGAGTGGTATCTCTTCTAAGAGATACGGTAACCCCAGAGAGAGAACGACATTCAACAGTTGTAATATTGCTTGAGCTTTACCTTCTTCGCAGAACAGTAACCCTGAAGCCCTGTTTTCTAGTTGACCCCAGGGGCAGGATCATAACATTATCCCACCAAAGTAACTGTCAAAGACAACCATGAATCACAGCCACCACTCTAACCAACATGTAGTTACTTTGACAGGGATTGTTGCACTATTTTGTGCGAGATGTAGCCACTCTGACCAACATGCAGTTACCTTATCGTCTCCCATAAAGTGAATAATACTGGTTGTAACGGAATTAGGAATATGCCAACTCTCCCACGGAGGTGGGTGCGCAGGCGATATCAGGGCCTTTGTAACAGCACAGCATCTTTTGGCTGCTGACAACCCCAATTGAAGCCGGATTATGGCTGTTTATTGTTGAAGAATACCGATAATGAGGTCGATATATCGTTCCTGGTGCCTTCATGAGGCCATAGCAGGCTGTAATCTCCTCGCAATCTAGGGCCCGTTTCCCTTGGGACCCAGTGAGAATTAATCCCTCAAAGCACTTTGTCTTGGAACAAAAGTCCCGACACAACAGTGGAAGGCCTAGAAAGACAGCAAGGTATTAAAATCAGAACAGATGGCAAGGTCAGAACGGGACTACGAATTGATCAATATAAATAGAGCAACATTCTCCCACCTGCAGAACGACAAGATGAGCAGAGCCTTTAAACCAATCCTTAATGCCCACACTTTCTTCGTTATCCTGCTAAAGATATTGTATCGCCCAACATGCAAGCCAACCTCTTTGGGATCCTCGCTATCACTGCCGCGTTTTCGACGGTGCAGTCCGCCCCAGTAGAGACTGCTGAGGGGCAGCTCACCCAGGGGCAGGTTAACGGAACTCAGACTAATGAGGCTTACATTAACGAGGCTCATGTCAATGAGGCTGATGTCGACGATGTAGTACGTGCTCTGCTTGAGCCTTTTTTTTTTTTTTTAAAAAAAAAAAAAAAACTCATATAATACCTTCCATCGCTTCTCCGAAGACTAACACCAAAGATCCGTCTTCTCAGGTCCCGCAGAGGATCTGCGTTAGGGAGGAAGCTCCTTATATCAGCACAAGAGAGAGGGAGGGAGATATTTTCGCGCGGTCTTGCAGGGATTATTCCTGCTACACAGACTCTTAGTGTATCCGATATAGATGTCTTGAATGCAATCTTTACTTTACACCGTGTGGCGATTTATACACGCGATGCTATTAGCGTATAGCCGAAGGATTTATTACTATAGAGGAGGAGAAGCATAGACATAGGTATAGTAAAATATGCGGGATAAACTTGAATCTATAAAATAATTTTGCCAGAGCTGGAAACTGCTGTTCGTGCATTCTTCGGATGTTACCTTGGCTTTTGTGAGTTACATCAATGAAAATAGCCGACCTAGATACCCCAGCCAGGTAATATAAGCTTAAGGCATATTGTGCATTACTATATTGGGGCTTGCTCGCTCCAGAGAGGATCTTATTAACACATTGCCGCGCTGACCTGCTTGGACTCCTCTCCAACCCCTGACTAGCCTGGGCACCTTACTTGCATGTGTTAAGCTTTCCGCGCTACATGCTAAGCCTTGTGCTACATCTAACGCACGCACCATGAGCGCGCCCATCGTCTCGAACGTAACAAAGTCAAACGCGCACGATGAGGTCTGTAGCATCCTTAAAAGCTATATATACAGCTCCAGTAAGAATAAGTGATAGGTTATTATTCTTACAAATTATCGGGATGCCGAAAGGCGACTAGGCCATAGGAAAGTATACAGCGAAAAATTTAAGTTGTTTTACAGAGACACTCGAGGCCTGTAAAATGCTGTAAGACAGAGGTATTCAACGCTAAAATCACTAGCGCACTCGAGGCGGCGAACTCACAGTAAGGTTCCTCAAAACACAGCCTACGCCCACTGCCGCACATTACTTCCTAGACAACCAGGCTGTAGTGTCTGGCTTTCTCAGAGCCCCCCCAGACCGGCCACAGGACAAGTTCCTGGCGTTCAGAGACCTAGCGAAAAGGGCTGCCAAACCTTAATGTAATGGGTCCCCGGACACAAGGACTTTGAGGGAACGAAGCAGCTGACGCCCTTGCAAAGGAGGACACCGAGCTGCCTGCGCGCCCAGCTAAGCCAACCTTCGCTCACCTACTACGCAATAACAGGGTGGCGTGACAACACACCAACGAGCTACCGCTACTGGAAGCTCCCCTGGCTGAATAAGCCCAGCGAACTCCAGCTCCCCCCACCAACCTTGGCACCGACTGCTGGAGCAATTCCAGAGAATTTATAACTTGTAATTGCATAAAAAAGGTCTCTCAATCAAACTCTTGATCCTTCTTTCGAGAACATCCACGAATAGCCAAGACTAGTGTGCTGGCGACATATTTGCACAATGGAGGGACAGCAGATGTACTGCAGTGTATTTACACATGCATCCCGTACCTTAATTGCACATCCAAAATTTCCCACCACCACTGTGGTTGTTAACTGAGTACTAAGATATGATGATGCCCCTTTCACAACTGCGTAATGGATGGCCACCTAAGGTCTGCTAATTGAGCCGGGATGCAAGATAAGAGTTTTGAGATCTTCCATGAAGATGTCATATATACCAACTTATGCACCCGAATAAACATCCGTCCATTTATGATATTAATGGAACAAAGATCGACGGCGGTAATACAAAACTATAAGGCTTTACCTATCTGGCCGTTGCTTGAAACTATTCTTAATGGCGATGCAATATTAGATTTATGATGCGTCATCAGATTCGTCATCTGAGAATACCAGAGCACTAAACTACAGGAGCTACTCTGTCTTCCTCGAATCTGTAATGCTGGCGGGTACCACGCCCTGATTGCCTCGCAAAAATACGAAGTTTACTAAAGGCGTTTCCACTATTTGCTAGAATCAGCATAGCGGCTACCAAAGGGTATGTAGCTAGTGGGATATTTTATATTTATTAGCTTAGCGTAACCGAGCTCTCTCGTATACATTTGATCTTTTCTACACAAAACTTCTCCGTTTCTCGTTTCTCAAGTTAAGAGCCGATTGGCTGATCTCTCATGCCTAGAGTTCACTCCTCTTTGACACTGACCTGCCTAATCGTCAGACGAGTTGTTGAATACCGACATGGTCCATGACGAATCCCTCACCGCTCCAGATCTACAGGAACCTCGTACCCGTAGACGGCACCAGAAAAGTCGGGCGGGATGCGGGATCTGCAAGAGGAGAAAAATTAAAGTAAGATCCTACCGTAGATGAGACTTTCACCGTGCATCTCTTTCAATCCATTCAATCAAAGAATCAATATTCCAAATAAGAATCTCGCTAAATCTAGACACCGAAACAATCAGTGTGATGAGAGAAAGCCCTGTTGCGCCAACTGTGCAAGGCATGGTGTCGAGTGTGACTTTCCGAGGCCGACAGCAACTTTCCCTCAGAGCACCAACGCTGCGCCAGGGTCGCCGCTGAACCAGACCCAGGAACCGGCCGCTAATAGCGTTGTGATCCCAGACGACCTCGCCGGAGGGACCTCCTGCCAGATTCCTGTTCTCGAAGCAATCCACCTGGAGCTTTTACACAACTTCACTACGCTGACCAGCCAGACTCTCTCCGGAGACCCGGTGCTCAAGAACCTCTGGCGCATCAACGTTCCCAAGGTTGGATTCAGCCATGATTTCGTGATGCGCAGCATTTTCGCCCTCTCGGCGTTGCATATGTCGCTCTTCGCGAGCGAGAAGAGGGAGTTCTACCTGAACATTGCTCGGTCCGAGCACGGCGCTGCGCTCCGCGAGATCTCTTCTGTACTCTCGCATGTCACGGCCGAGAACTGCTCCGCCATCTACATCACCGCAACTTTGACCTTCATCTACGCATGGGCTTGCCCCCGCCAGCCCGGCGACTTCTTCCTCGTTAGTAACTCCGGCGTGGCTGAGTGGGTTTTTCTCATGCAAGGGGTGCGAAGCATATCCGAAACTTGGCGGACGGAACTACGGCAGGGGCCGTTCAGCCCCATGTTCCGGCTCGGCCACAGTCGTATGGAGTATGGAAGCGGAAATTACCGTACGTCAGCAGCGTGGCTTTCGAGCGTCGAACACACACAGCTAATGTACCTGCGGCGGACTGTCATACAAGCCACCTCAGACACCCTGGCCGCCACCATCTACCAGGAAAGTATTGAAAATCTTGAGACGTGCTTTTGTTCTGTCCTTGGCGCCTCGAGTAACTCGTCACCAGGGCAGAGCGGCAACCCAATGTCGCCACACGACGTGATAGGTGGGGGAGCTCTACCCGTGGCACCCGTGGTTTTGACATCGACTATCTATGCCTGGCTGTACAGAATGGATCATGGCTTCATCGAGCTCCTGGTGCGGCGAGACTCGTTGGCACTGGTCATATTTGCTCATTTCTGCGTTTTGATCAAGTTTCTTAGCGGCTGTTGGTGGATGTACGGGTGGTCGACGCATCTTTTGCAGGAGATCTGGGATCTTTTGGACGAGGAGCACAGGTTGTGGATCCGCTGGCCAATAGAGGAGATAGGGTGGAGGCCAAGAGTTTGATCCATCATCTCCTACTTCCAATATCTTTATCTACTCTTACCCTACATATGTCTATAGCACGACACTTTTGTAGGTAAAGATATAATGCATATATATATTCATATTTTCCTTTACAACCATATATCTGCTCTTTTCTAAATCATGCATTCTTGACAGGCCCATGATCGAGTAGTAATCTATATTTCGAACATGCTTGAAAAGCGTTAGTAGCAGTGATTTGTCGGAGCTTTGGCTAGATTCTCAACCCAAAAATTACCGTAGATTCCAGCTTTAAAGCTTATATTTCTCTATAGCAGTGAGATATAGATATCGCACGCGGATACAATGCTCTATTCGAATCATAGCACCAAAACAAAACCTCAAAAAATATTCGACCGGCCATCCATCCCGCTTTTGCCCTCCCTTTCCTCTTGACTTCACTCCAAAGGTCACGGATAGGTCTCTGTGTAACTATAGCTAACACTATCTGACAAGGGGATGCTTCCTTTACTCTCTGACACCATGATGCGTCCTGGATGGCAGATAATGAAAAGGCCAGACGTAATGAACATGAGCGTGGCATCAAAAATATATATGTAAGTCTCGCTCGACTGCAGAGGACCAGAAAATCCGCCAGAAAACTCGGCGACACGAAACACAGATCGTACCATGATGAGGATGCTGGCAGCATACAAAACGAAGAGGAAACGCTGCCATGGAACAGCAATAGTGAGTGAAGTCGGGGTGGGGGCGCGAATGATACGCCAGTGGAAGACGCAGGCAACGACCATGAAAAAGCCGAAGAAGATGACTTGGAATATGAGACCACCTGTGATGATATTCTCGCCCAAGTCTATGGAAGACTTCGTTTTGGCGTTGGCGAGCATGCCGCCTCCTGCACGTGCATCATGTTCAGTCCTCTATGTTTTCCCTAATGGGCGGCAGCACTCCGCTGCTTTTGATGCGGTCACATACCTGCAGATTGAATGAAGAAAGAGGATACATCACCAAAAAGGAAGACCTTTGTCAGCCACGTCGTCCGGATGAGTGAGTACATGTCAGCATGCAGGAGACGAATTAGGCGGCCCAGCGTCATATAGATGGACGCTGCAAGCAGTGTCGGTCCAAGAAGCAACGTTAGACTTTGAAGGACATACGGGCCCGTTCTCCAATTCGGTGACTCTCCTGCAGATATATTCCTTCCCAAGTAGCCGACAGCTTCAACTACAAACACAGTCAGCCGTGCCGAGAATATAGGGCTCCTGGGAATCCTAAAGGAAGACAAACATATTAATCCAGTGATAAAGGGGAGGAAGTACCACACTCTGTACCGAGATAGCTTGTATAGGTGTGCGAGAGCAGATATAATGAAAAGGGCGACAAAGGCGCTTGCAGCTCCCTTGTTGGGATAGTAGTGATACAAAGAAAAACCTCCAGCAGAGCTGGAGTCACTCGATGCTGATGATGACATGAGATTCGTTCGTCAGTAACCCTTTCGAGGATATAAGTAACGCGATTTAACAAGGGCTCAAATTGCAATCGTCTTCCTTGCCGGGAAATACAACGGAGAAATAAAACCTAATGAGTGAATATAGATATGATGGGAATCTAGCTTGACAAAAAGACAAACATAAAAGAGTGAGATATTTTTCCATTGACTTATAATCTCTTGTGAATTTCTTGCAACCTAGTAGTCTTTTTAAAGAAATATTGGACTGTTCGGAGCTGTGCCCCAACATCCCAACCCCTTTCTCTGCGATTGATTACTGGCTATAAGCGCATAGCATAGTAACATGCAAAGAGGATCGTTTTACCAGGTCCCATATGCGAGATCCGAGCCAATATGTCCCAGATATGGTATTACGAGGAGGCCCACGTCATGCGTATGGTTCCAGGTCTGTCTGAGCTCGGGTTGATAGTGGCGCAGCATCGGATTCATAAGGGCGGGATACGAGCTCGGATTGCTTAGATGAGTCTCGTATTTAGTCAGCCCCTCGATTTTCGCTGGTGACAAGAATGCTCAACAGTTATAAGTGTGGTAATGCTAATGTCAAAACAACTCAAGTTATTGACCTATATTGTGTTCGCATTCATTCACTTGGTTGCAACTTTATATTGCAAATAGGCAGGGTAGTCGTATTAAATAATCCGATTCCTTTTAATCTAGACATTAAGAGAGGCGATAAGTAGAGATATTATATAGGCAAACACATACACTCCCTGCGCAGCATAATGTTGCTGCGAGGCAATCTATTAAAGGCAGCTTAAAGACTGGGTAGCAGATATACCAATATTATCAGCAAATAAAGTGCACTCCTAATCACTTGATTCATCTATATCACCAGGAGGAAATGGTGTTTCAAAAAGAGAAGGTAAAAACGAGTCTCAGCAATTGCGCAAAAATATCCTTGGTGTTAATCGAGGTAGATGTATTAAACGTGGCAAGATACCCGAGCATCAGAGGAAAAGATGAGAAATACAAAAGATGAGAAATACAAAAGATGACAGATTTAATGCTATTGGTTTCGATCATTCTTTGTGGAAATGGATTGTATGTCCATCAATGTTGAGCTGCGTAGGAACAATGTATCTCTCATATGTTATTTCTAACGAACTCGCCAACTTCCCCAAGGCATAACTTCTCAGTCAAATATGCCTCGATCGAATATGCCTCGCTCTCATGTATAACAAATAAACTGAACTTTCAACGACCTTAAACTACTGTTTTAACTACTCGGTGATCCAGAGTGTTAATAAAGCCATGCGATTAATATAGCGTTACCGTTTGAGGCCCTATATAGAGGCCTAGCTGTCACAGGTTATTACAGCAGGTTTCTACATGGTTTCTATCCCTACAAAGTCCAAAAGAGATTACTTAATTATTCATATTTCTAACATCGTCTACCAATTGTGAATAGTCCGTAATCTGTAACCTATTGTGCTGTTCTGAACGGTAGCTTTATAGAATACCCAAGAAATGCTTTTAACCACAAGAAAAAGATATCTCAGGCAAGTATCTAAGTCTTTGCAAAACGTATCTCCTCTCGAGTTGGTGTCATCTCGAAATCGGCGGGTTGAGATTTGCCCAATTGGCTAGGATACTTCCAGGTAAAGCTGAGCATAGTTAAAAACATGAGCATGCCATCCATAACATATACAGTCCACTCGTGAGTGAGCAGATAGCCATCCTGACCCATAGAGTACTGGATGGCACGAAAAGTGTTTCGCATCATGATTAAACCGGAAGTGGAGTAGAGCATTACCAGAATACCCTGCCAGGGGATATGGTAGACACTCTCGCCGTTGCCGTGCTTGCGATAACGGAGGTGAAACAGCAAGGTATTCAAGCAAAAGACAGCAAACGCCACAAGCTGGAAGACAAGACCGCCAACAATGATATTCTGGCCGGTCTGTGCCTTGCTATCGGAGCCTCCTTCCACTAGTATACCCGCACCACCGCCTTGAATCATGAAACTGAGAACATCAGCTGTGACGAAGATGCGTGTGAGCCACCGGGGTGACATCAGGGAGTATTGTGAGCCAGAAACAGTAATAATAACGCGGCTGAGAGTCATATATAGGGACGCAGCGAAGAGGATAGGCGCGAGAAGTAGGAAGATAGATTGTAAAATGTAGGGAATGAGCTCTCCCGTTGCATCATATGCTATGATGCGTCCGATATAACCGATGATTTCGACTGCAGAGGCCTGTGTAAGAACTTGTAGTATTTGGGGTGTAATATGAAGGCTGACTCACAAACGCCGCCTATGATAAAAGGGATACAGAACCACAAACGATGTCTGAACATCAAATAGGTTTGGTGAGTCGTGGTTATTACAAAGAGGATAGTAAAGACAATGGCTGCTGGTCGGTTGGGTATGTAATGCCACAATGGATAGCCATTATGTGTTTCAAGAGTCGGCATTTTAACTTTAAAGGATTCTTAAATAAAGGTTTCTCAAAAATCTGAATAGAGATAATAAAGTAGGAGTAAATAATTGAAAAGCTAGGCCATGCATGCATTTGTTGTGCGCACTTTATTTATAGCTTTACTGTAAAACTATAGTCAAATAAGATCAACAATAACAAATAGTTGTTTAAAAAGAGAAACTGTGGTGCAATATGATATTTATAACTGCCTACAGAAAGACGAATTCCAAGGCGCAGCCTCGCTAAAATTTGCCAGCTGAGGCTGAACCTTTAACCGTAGCGTCCAGCTCGCCAAGTCTAGCCAGATACCCGAGATCTAGATTCCTAAAGCGAGAATCCGAGGGCTTTCATGGTCCGCATACAAAATACGAGTTTGCCTGTCAATTACGCATATCAAATACGAACTAGCTCTACATAGCACACATCCTTATCATGCGAAAAAAGGTATCTTGTACATGGTTCCGTCAATTCTCTTGACGGAGCAACATATACTATGTATGACCCTACATGGCAGAGGCATACCAGCAACGTCAAACAACTTGCGTTCCTGTAACTACCTATTTATTTTTTGGATGGTCTTTGATGTGTTTTTATTTTTATTTTTTATTTATTATTATTATTATTATTTTTTTTTTTTTTTTTTTTTTTTTTTTTTTTTTTTTTTTNTTTTTTTTTTTTTTTTTTTTTTTTTTTTTTTTTTTTTTTTGGATTGGATACTAGCTCATTAGTAGTACATACAGCAGGAAATACATGTGTGTCGCAGCAATTTCGGCCCCTCATGGCGTATCTAGGGCTGCGGGGCAGCTCGTACATCATCTTACTTCGCCTACCTAGGTTTTATACCAATCCACTTTCAATCCGAGGCAGTCTCGTATAGTTGGTATTTCAGCCAGGTACTATACCTTGTCCTCGCATAGCCTCGGAATATAGAACCATTCGACCAATTGAATGTAAAGACAATTCATTTTTCCAGGGATTCTCAAATAAAGCCGAAGAGACCTTAGTCCGTTAATCTCAGGTAAAAAAAAATCCATTTCAGCCATGCATTTAATTCAAGCCTCCTAGGATAATGTAGTATTGTATTATTTAAAAGCCGCTGATCTATTGCGCCATAGCCTGGATTACCAGCATTATGCAATACTTGTATGCGACAGGAGCCTAGGTAATCTGGCTAGGGGTGTGGACTTGACTCCTGTTTGAAGGAGGGGGTCATACAAACTGAACGTTCACTTCGTCGGCATACGAGCGATGGGAATAACAAAGTTAGTCTCTACACGATGTAGAAATTCGAAATGACTTTCAGCAATGAATTATAGCTAGCTGATAATTACTTGAGCAGTTATTTGCATGTGCGCGGTTGTTCCGCTCTACAAATGCCATAGATAGACATACATCCGCACGCTATAAGAATTTGAGCGAAGTTAAATAGATATAACACCTCTGTGATGTGGAAACATTGACAACGAAGCTGAACCAAAAAAGATAGACATCCAAACAAGCATGTTGTTTTAGCAGCAATGGCCTCGTCCTACCTCTACTTTTGTACTCGAGAGTGATTTCCTTCTACTATTCGCTTAAGTGAAGGATTCCAGAAGAGGCCGCAATAACTCTCGCTAATTTCCAGATAGCACTCCACCACTTCATCGCCGGGGACCCCTTTCCACTCACTGGGATTCGAGCGCACCCGTGTTGATACATCAACACCGTACAGCATGGATACACCTTGACAAGATAATTTATCAATATTGTTGTCATACATGTAATAGCAGCCTGAGAGTGATCCATTTGCTAGCTCATATGTTGGCGTATAAGAAGGATTACCTACCGTAGATGTCTTTGTTGTTAGCGGCTCCAGTGTTCAGATCGTGGATACATTGGCAAATCATCGAATCCCACTATATTATCTAGCACCGAACTACTTGTTGTTTACGGACCCGATCCTGTGTTGATTGGTGGCTTGTAAGAGATGATGTGCCTAGTAATTATGTTTCTAATAACGGAACTCCTTCTTCGTTTAGTTCCTCCAATTCTTATTGGGAGACACATATAATCTAAGTACTAGTGAAAAATTGTCCAGTAATAGCTCCTTGATACTCTTCAAGTCTCAATGATTACTCTCGCTGAACAAGATATTGCCCTATAGGAGTTTGTCGCGTACTGTATAGATGGAAGGAGCGCTTGAATGACGCTGTTGTCCCCGTGGTATCTCTCTAAGTAAGTGCGAATAGCCGGAAGCTCATATTCGGCTCGAATCCTAATCCACCATCTGCTTTCGCTGGCTCTAGTGTACCACAGGCAGAGCAATAGAAGCGCCACCGGGTTTTTCATTTCCAAGAGGACCACGAACCTATTATTCATAAAGCTCCATACCTTCATGGCACTGTCCAGCGAGACCCTGCCCTTTGGTGCCTCTAAAAGCTGAGAGAGACCATGCGCAACTGTGAAGAAAGGGTTGTTCTCTCGCGTCGATGACTCGTCAAGCCCGCACAGTTGTACCAATTCGACTGACACGCCATTGATGCCTCGTGTTGGCACTGGCTGATGCAGTTTTGCAAATGATTCAGAAATCACGCGGTACACACTCTCTGGCCGCAGTGGGTTTACTAAATGCCACAGTTTCATCTTACCAGCCCCCAGGCGGAGCCAGTCAAGATCGGAGGAGTCGGATGCCCCAAAGAGGCCATGCCTCATCGGGAGAAGACGCAGTAAGGGCAGAAAACGTCAGAATGGCAACAGCGCCAGCAGCAGCCCAGAGGGGGTCCTTGTGTTCCTCTCTAATTGGTTGGCTTAGCCGCTTGCTGAATAAGGTCGTGAATTGAGATGCGTGATAAGATTCTCGTAATGAGCGACGATGTGTTGGCGTCATCTCAAAATAGCGCTCATGAACAGCTGCCACAGCCAATGTTCCATGCATTAGGAACGGACACTGGAGAGCATGTGTGAGTGAGGCAAGACTCGCGCGGGGTGCATGTCAAGAGGGGATGGGGTTTCTTCTCGACTTGCACTCACAGTGAAACAGACTTGAAGCATGTGAGTCTCCCATATGTGTATCACCCCAGAGCCACCGATGGAGTGAATAACTCGATATCGGAAGCGGTTGAAAAGCATTTGGTCCTTTAGATCCAGTGTAAAATAGGTTGGTCCATCGCCGACCCATATAGCGTTGCTGACAGTGGATTGCGGCCGCGGTATATTAAATAGGCCAACTATTCCTTCCTTCGTTTGTTTCTGGTGGACGGGTTGAAGATCGGGAACGTTGAAGCCGAAGTTGCAATAGACCCCATATGTCCGACATTTCGAGCAGTATGGCCTTGTCTCGTCACACTATTAAATAAATATTCACTAAAAAAAGTCTTCCTAGTAGCGAACTGTTACGAATAGGCATGGATTAGCTTACCTTTAATTTTCTCAGTTTGCAGTTTCGACAGCCGAATCGCGACGGCTTGCGTTTTGACTTGCACTTTTGGCCTGCTGGCGAGATTTGATGGTCCATGAAATACTCACAAATGACAAAGAAAGTCGAGCTGGTCGAGCTAGTGTAGTAAATGTAGGAATCGTGTTTGTCGGGACTCGGCGTGTAGTTAAAGCGAGCAACGCTGCAAGAGATTACCTCTCTCCAGTAAGTTTGGGTATTTCAATCTCTAACGTCTTTATCAGTCGTCGCGTGATCGGCATTTCCAGGGTGTCCCCAGGCCGCGACGCTAAACCTTAAACCTATTTTGCTATTGACCTACGCTTTACCTCTACTCGGGGTTCGAGCTCTCTGATTGGCCAGGATTTCTCTATTGAATGTCCTTCAAGTTCGCATATCGAAATGGATTTCAACTCAATACATTTGTCAGGGTGGGCAATGTTCAAATGTAAATAATGTACGGGATAGCTACGCGTCAACTTGCCGCCATATCCGTGACTACTACCAGCGGTGTGGGAGAAATATATATAGAGCTCAAACTTCGCTATTTGGTTTCTTTCTATTTCAAATCCTCGACTCCAAACAGAAACTCTTCCCTTTCGTTTGTTGATGCCTCACTACTTGTAACTGTCAACATGCGTATATTTGTCACAGGTTCCACCGGCTTTGTCGGCTCTTCTGTTGTCAAAGAACTTCTCTCAGCAGGACACCAAGTACTTGGCTTGACTCGCAGTGACAAAGGGGTCGAGCTGCTGAAAGCCCAAGGTGTCGAGGTTCTACGTGGAAATATCGAGGACTTGGAACTCCTCAAGAATGGTGCATCTGAATGTGATGCAGTCATTCACCTGGCATTCGCCCACAACATGGCCGACTTTTCTGGCTCTTGCGTCACAGATCGAGCCGCCATCACCGCCATGGGCTCTGCCCTGGCTGCTGCCGGTGGCAACCGCGCCCTGGTCGTTACTTCGGGCACCATGCTGCTGTCGCGCGGCAAGATTGGTAACGAGGCCGATACGCCTGACATGAGTAACCCCGGAGCCTCGGCCTGTGGTCCTTCAGAGTCATTATGTCTCGACTTCGCCAAGCAGGGCGTGCGCGCGAGCGTAGTGCGCCTGCCGCCAACGACGCACGGCCCTGGATCTTCAGGCTTCATGTCGTTGCTTATCCCCGTTGCGATTCAGAAGGGCGTCGCTGCGTACGTCGGCGACGGCCAGAATCGCTGGTGTGCCGGGCACCGCGATGACGCAGCCAAGCTGTACCGGCTTGCTGTGGAAAAGGGCGAGGCTGGATCTGTGTTTCATGCTGTGGCCGAGGAGGGTGTGCCACTGAAGGATATTGCGACTGAGCTTGGCAAAAGTTTGGGTATTCCGGTTGTCAGTATCACACTGGAGATGGCAGAGGACCATTTCGGTGGGTTTAAGGACCTTGCCACAGCGGATAATATAGCTTCGAGTGCCAAGACAAAGGAGCAATTGGGATGGAATCCGACAAGCCCAGGTCTACTGGAAGATATTCCAATTATTGTTAGAGCTTTATTATCTTAAATAACCTACCTAGTATGAGGCTTATAAAAATACAATATTGCATTAATTCCCTAGTAGTAATACAATTTATAGGGTCTGTGTGGTGCAACAATCAAGCACATAGGCACTGTAACGAATAGAATCCCTTATAGTAGTTGGTTCTGTTATAGTAATTGCTGCAATAGTGATTATTTAACCAATATTTTGCCTTGTTTGGCTTAACGGTATAGCGGATTGTTACAGTACCCTGACAGAGCGACTAGTTCAATGCTACTTACGGAGTACTATTGGTACAGTAAAGGCGGAAAGTCGGCCCTACCAAACTTGTATTCCACAGCGGCTGCAAATTTTGCAGCCCATACCCCGTTGGCAGCATGTCGATGACAATTAGGCGCAAGCGTGCGAGGAAAGCGTGCATCCCCTGCCACCAGCGCAAGCGGAAATGCGACGCCAAATACCCTTGCAGTAGGTGCAGCACGTATGAATACAACTGCAAATACGCCGCTGCCGCCGACGATATCACGGGCACCACAGGTCGCGGCGCTCATGCCCCTCCGCCACCCAAGCGTGCCACTCTTGACGGCGGAAGTGATATGGCAACCCGAGTCGCCACATCGAGTTGGTCTCAGCTAGAGCCAGGTCCCGCCTTCGAGTCCGGCACGTCCACGGCCACCGCGGCGCCGGCTGGCATCTTCGACGAGCACAAGTCGAGATACGCCGGTGCGTCGGCGGCCATGGCATTCCCGCACATTTTGGGCGGGGTTCTCGGCTCCGACAGCCCTTCTAAGACGCATACCCTCGCCTACAACTTTGGCATCCGACCTGAGGAGCCTTCTAACACGCACGTCTTGCTGGGGACGCTCATCTCAGAGGACGACCTCGGCTTCTTCTCGGGTGTATACTTCTCGGCGCTGGCACCTATCGGTGACTTACTGGACCCGAAAATCTACGCCCAGCGATGTTGGGACTACTATCATGGCTCCGGCAGCACCATGATCGCCTTTGGTGCTGTGGCTGCTGGTGTGGCCGCTCTTGGGTCGTTCCTGTCCCCAAACAGACACGCGCGGGAATCTGATTTGGTGCAATACGCCAAGGCCATTCTCGACGATCCAGCTTCGATGCGCATGCTAGGCATCGACCATATAATTGCGTGGGGCATGCGAGTCTTTTACCTACGAGCCACGAGCCGACCTAATAGTGCCTGGATTGCATCATGCACTATGATGCACCTGTGTGAAGCGGTAGGGCTGCACGAGGAGGAGAATATTAAGAAGATAGCGTCTGACGCCGGCGCTGCTGTTCTTGGACATGATGCGGACCGGCTGAGGCGAATATTCTGGATCTCGTGGTCCGGACATAATTTGCTGTGCTACGAGTTCGATCGCTCAGCTGTCCGATTTCGAGCCGTGACTTGCCAGGCCATCATCTCGAGATCAGGGTCCGTGGCCGACCAGTTTGTGCAAATAGCCCAGATCATCCCAGCACCCAACTCCCCGTTCCACCTTGAATGCCAGCCTCAATCTCCTCGGGAGGAGCTCTTTGAGCGTCTCAAGGCATTGGGAAATCTCTGGTTCACTCATCCGTTTCTGGTTGTGACCAAGGCAGACCTTGCTTTTTGCTTCTATCGACGCATTTACCAGCTCAAGATGGGTATATCGGAAGACATGGTCAAGCTCATCATTGATAGTGGCAACGCTGCAGTCGATGCGGCTCAGCAGCTGGCTAACCAGGGTCGTCTGTTTTGGAACGTCATCGGCAGTATCTTCCAGTATGCCTGCGTGCTGTTGGCCATGGACACGCCGGAGGCTTCCTCTCACATCGCCGCTGCCTTTGAGGGCTTGGAGAATCTCGTCAAGGTAGCCAACACAGAGCTGACACGTGCGGCATTGTCTATGGCGCGCCATCTACTCAGTCTCTATATAACGAGGAAGCGAAAGGAGCTTGTCAGGCTAGAAAATATCGAGCTGGATTCCATGGCCAACACTGCTGTGCCGGATTTGGATTGGGGGATGGACTGGGAGCAGTTCCTTGTCGAGCCATATCTATCGATGCTCGGTCCCGACGGTCAATTATAGTGGTACTGTGAGCGTTCGACAGTCACTCGAGGGCGGCCTTAGAGGATATGGTGGTGGCCGTAGTTGTAATGGCTTGTATCTGAGGTTCGTGTGGTGTTGAACAGCCAAAAGGCGCGTCGCCATGTGGCCCCTCGCTAAGCGGTGTGTTGGTTTCTCTTTGTAAAGATATTGCCGTGGTTGGTCACGGTGGAGTGAGACGTAAGTGACGACTCGGCTCTATTCATCAGACCAGTGAGCTTTGAGCAGCCAGTAACATCTGGCATCATCGAGAAATGTGCACTGGATTTATGTGTTAATCCTGCAAGATTCAATGGAGCAAAGGTAAATAAATCTGCACTCGGTCTCGGAATTTTAACCTTTCTCCTTTTGGAGACTGCAGAAGACCTCCTCCCTCAGTCCCTATTTTGAATTATGAGCGCGATGTTGTCTCATACGGCTTAGTGAAGTGCGGCAGCGGCGGCTTGTGCGGACTTAGAACGTTGGCGTTCTGGTTGGTGTCTTTGCAGTATCGGACCCCTGTGCGTAGCCGCTGCGGCTGCTGCGGCCGAGAAACGCGGGCTTCTCTAACCTCCTACCACTTCTATGAACATATTCCATCAAAGTTTCTCCGGGCGAATCAAGTTTGAAGCTGTCTGGACTTTTAAATGTGGTTGGATGTTAACAGGCCGAGATGGGGTTAAGCCGATACGGAGCTTGGATTGTATAAAAGGATAGACATTTTCTACTCGAGACGGGGATAATGCTCTACCATCTCGCTTGACAGTAATCGCAATAATAACACACTCTAATAGTGAACTCAACGCCCCGTCAAACGATAGCCAAATGCCTAAATACGCCAATAGTCAGCCTGTCGGCTTCAAAAACGCCATTGAGCGTGTCGCCATTGTCGGGGTAAGTCACCCCGTCAAGGCCACAGCGCACACAAAACTACAACACTAACACATCCAACTTAGGCCGGAGGCACCGTGGGATCTCACATAACCGCTGCCCTCCTTGCAACTGGCAAACACAAAGTCAAGGCCCTCACTCGCAAGGACAGCAGCAACAAACTTCCCGAAGGCGTTCTGGTTGCCCCCATCGACTATGATGATGAGGCTACCATTGTAGCCGCCCTCAAGGGCCAGCAGTTTTTCATCATTACCATGGCTCCTACCGCACCCCGGGAAACCCACAGCAAGCTAGTCCAGGCGGCCGCCAAGGCAGGCGTTCCCTACGTCATGCCCAACGGTTACGGCGGCGACATAGACAACATTAAACTCGGCGAGGAAACGCTGCTGGGGCCTGTTGCAAAGGCTAATAGGGATGAAATTGAGAGGCTCAACATGCAATGGATCACAGTGTGTTGCGGATTTTGGTACGATTATAGCCTGGCGGGTGGCGAGGCGCGTTTTGGATTCGATTTTGACAGGCGTTCCCTCACAATCTACGACGATGGCAACACCAAAAACTCAGTGTCGACCTTGTCGCAGGTTGGGCGAGGCGTGGCTAAGGTTCTGAGCCTCAAGGAGCTTCCTGATGACGAAAATGATAAAAGCCTTACACTTTTTGGATTTCTCGGCAAGGGCGTGTATATCAAGAGCTTTGTAGTCAGACAAAATGACATATTCGAGAGCGTCAAGCGCGTCACGGGAACCACTGACGTCGACTGGGCAATCACTCACGAGACTACCAAGAAGCGATATGAGGATGGCCTAGCGCAAGTTAAAAGTGCTAACATGGCTGGTTTTAGCAAGATGCTATACGCGAGGGCGTTTTACCCGGATGATCCGAATGATATCTCAGCCAAGGCGCAGAATAAGCTGCTCTGCTTACCGAATGAAAGCTTGGATGAGTCTACCAAGGCCGGGATAGATATGGTCAAGGCCCTACAACATCGCGTTGACCGTATGGCAGCCTAAACTGCTTGTCGCCCAATAAGCACTGGCTATATCGACCGCTTTCACGTACAACGGAGTTGATGTTAAAAAAGCACAAGTTCGCCTTCGTCTTTTCAACATCATTTGCAAGCGCCGCCCCAGAAATATGGTGTCGTTGACTTTGATGATCGTGTTGCCGGAGTCAGAAATCCTCCTTGGTAACCCCTTGAAGAAAATCAGATAACCCTAAGCTATCTCGTATAGATATTTTTGGGCAATGTGTCTTTGAAGGGCATTGGACTGTATGTAGGCGAGTCACACTCGGTTATGAATAGAGTAGTTCCTAAATGAATTTGTACTGAAAGAGTGGAAGCTGAATGTGACACCACCATTATTGTCCTCCCCTTTGGTAATTTAGGCTACCTACTCCTCAGGCAGCTGGAGGCAATGCAGGCTAACGACCTCTGAATAATGCAATTCTGATCCAGACCGGTTGGAACTATGAATTGGCAGCAATTTTGAACTGTTGAACTGTGTGCCCTTTAGAGTACTTCTGCATCATCTGGAGCTTTGCTTGCTGGGTTGCCTTCTGGGCTGCAGCCGCCGTTTTAATACTAAAGGCATTCTTTTGTGTGAACCCATTTCTCGGCTAAGTTCAGTCATGATAGCCGGCATTAAGAAGCTAGCAGTTACACCATGTCTGCTCGTTCTATCATAAAGAAAGAGTAGCGTGCTATTCAGTGCTGGAAATAACTGTTGTAGGAGTTATTTCCTGGGTTATAATAATTACAAAGGACCGGTTTGTAATAAATAATTGTTTCTTTTCTGCAATACATTAATTTTATAATAAAGAAAGCTCAAACAATGTATCATTTCTATGTTTTTCTATATGAATTCAAAGATTCTATTGACTGGGTATATCAAGCCCATGTCTAGAGGACGAAATGCATCAAACCATCTGCTTCAATTCTACAGGCCTTTGATCGGCACCAAGCCCATTCCTATCATCCCCATAGCTAGATCGGGACAGCAATTACTGCACCGTTTCCCATTCCTGCTCAAGATCTCCAATATACCAAATAGCAAAGATGACCATGACAGAAACCATAAGCAGAGCATCAAAGACATAGAGGAATGCTTCGTGGGATATCAGGTACCCGCCGTTGCCTTGGAGATATTCGATGACGCGGACAATACTTCGGACAAGTATCAGAGAGCTAGTAGTATAGAGGATATAGATATGGCGTTTCCAACGAATAATTCGAGCCACTGCAGCTGGTGTAGGATTGTTGATAAGTTTATAGTGAAATGTAATTGTTGTAATTATAAAGAAGCCAAAGAAGGCAATCTGCACGAATAGACCGGTAATGATAATTTTTTCGCCAATAATAGAGGTCAAGTGTTCCGGCCGCCTGAACGCCCCCGCCACCAGCTTGCATTATAAACGAGACGATATCGCCGGTAACAAAGATTCTAGTAAGCCAAGAAACTGGTACAATGGATAATTGTTGAGCATTAATAGCGCGAATAAGTCGTGCGAGGATCATGTATATTGAAGCTGCATATAGTGCAGGGGCAACGAGAATCAAGATAGCCTGGATGACGAAGCCGCCGATAGCCATTGTATCATAATGTGACCAAATGCGACCAGCATAACCTAAGCATTGAACTGAGAAATGGGGACAAGGTTAGCATGGCTGATGGGTAATATTTCCCATACGGCGGGAAAAGTCCTTACACAGGCCGCCAACTGTGAATGCAGTGAAGTAAAAAGACTGATGCCGCTTAATAAGAAAGGCATGATAGCCGGTGAGGATAGCGAATACAACGACGGTTACTATCGGGACTTCTAATGATGGCGTGTATCGATAAAGGCGAAAATCATACGCAATAGCTTGGGGAGCTGTGGCGGTAGTATTTTGAGATGCCAGCAGAGCGCCAGGTGACATCGGCATTGGGCTCGAATAGGCGAACGAGAAGGCCGAAATGGAATAAGCAATTGTAATTTTGGTTTCGGTTTTTTGGTTTCAACTCGAAACGAATGAACAAAGTAAAGAAGTGGGCAAAAAGAAGGACTAAAGGCAATGTCAGAATATGCCTGATATACACTCGAGGGACAAACACGTCTATTATACGTCTGACGGCCAGTGGGTCTCAGGCTGAAGAAAGCTCCCTAACCGACTTTGTGTAGAGTTCGGAGACCATGTCCGAGTTCTGAGAGAACTTTTTACTTGCTTGAATTCTACGGATCAGACTTACACGGTGGGGCAAGCCGCAGCCATGGTTGTTGGAGGGGACATTTGAATGGCCAACAATTCGTACGGCTGAGCCACCCAAGTTATGGGAAGATGGGTTGGCTTCCGGAAATACTGGGGTCGATTTTGTACTCGACCCGAGACTCGCGTTTAGTGCGAGGACATGGTTTCCACCACACCCTTGCACTCGGACGCTATTTAGGGGGCATTTTGTTTCTTTGCAGGCACTTGATCCGCCTTATGACTTGGATCTAGTAGGAAGCCTGACCCAACCGAAACTTGACAATCTAAATACTGCTCCCCCAATCAGCACGGCGGTTCACTCCGTCTCTTGAAGGAGGTTTAGGCAGCGCGCGTTTCCCAATGGCCGCGAATATCTTATGGGGGTTGAATCACTCCAAACTTCTCATCTGGACTACGAATGGCAGGGCAACCGAGATGAAGTTCTGAACTTGAGGACAAAAGCTGACAAAGATGAAGTTATTCGGCTCTTGCTGTACATGCCAATGAATCATCTTTGTTGAGTTAGGTGACGCCTTTGGTGATCCTATGGTGCATTAGTAGCTTCACCAGTAGCTTATGTCAGCCAGCAATTAAGTCTATATAGGCAGTTTACCGAGTTGTCAGAGCTCATGTAGAGCCAGTCGCCGTTATCTATCTCGGAAACTTCTAGGAATGTTCTCGCCTGCGGGCCATGTACACTGGCCACAGAGTACATCTCCTTGTCATTGTACAAAAGTAAGTCGAATTGAAGTGTAGGAGCGTCAGACTCGGCTTGCGGCTTGTCCCCTGACTGAGCTCGCCCTTCCTAGACTCAGCACCAGACACCCCTTCGATCTCGCTGACGATATCATTCCAGTCGCTTGCGGTTCAGCTAGCAAGATTTCTCTCATACTACTCAGACGAACCATCATATCATCACACTTCTTTTGCGACGTCAAATGGCTGCGCCAGAAGAAAAGCAATGCGCCGATTTTTATCAGTATTAGAGTGTAAGCCGTACAGAAAATCCTCCAGTTTTCGATGTAAATCTTTAGTCACTCACGGTGGTTTCTTTGTGACTTGCGGTAGATTTCACGTCTTCGCCTTAGTCATGCGTCCAGGCTGCTTTCCTTTGGCCCTAACCTAGCTTCCTTTGTACTTACACCTAGATTCCTAAGACACCGCAGGGATATGACAAGGCAGATAAACTGAATATTGGGTTGATTTTGCCTCGCCCTGAGAAACTTTAGATATAATAATCTCTCTCTTTCCTTTGCCTTGGAGGTGGCTGAGGAAAAGAGTGAATGGACGAGTGAGTGAAGACTCATCCTATATTGGAAGGGGGGGTTTCCATGGAGAGAGATCCTGGGAACCCAACCGGAACCCCATAGGCGTGATCGTGCACTTGACTAACTTGCCCTGGAACTGGGCTCCAGTCTTGTCAGGCACGTCATAAATCCTAGCGGCGAATGCAAAACCTGGTGGCATCTACAAGCTCCGGATTTAATGTCCCGCCGCGATAACTTTCATTATCCACTTCCACTCTTTGTCAAGGTCCATCCCATAAGCTGGCATATAATCATGCATGGTCTGCGACTCCGACTTCCCGTTCCCGGCGTTAGCACTGAAGATGCTGCTCTTTAACATGCCTGGCATGACTTATGAGACATGAATATTGGACATTTTCTGCTTCAATTCGAAGAAAAGTCCTTCCGAAAACGACTGCGCCGCTTGCCTAGTGGGGATATACCCGTCTACATTGGCATCATGGCGAACCATTTTACAGAAGAAAAGTTGGCCACCCGATATTCTTCTTTCGTGACCAGCATTCTAGGCAAACACGAACTACTTAGTATGACGCCGTAGATGTTGATCCTCAGTGTGGCTTCCCATCTGGTGACCTGAATCTCTCAGACATAACCTAGCATCTCGATTCCAGCGTTGTTGACCAGCGGATGAGCATCTCCCATAGCCTCTCTTTCAGTCCCTACACAGAAACATATATTTTTTGTGATAGAGGGACCCCATGATGACCCACAGTCTTCTGCCAGTGGTATAGGGAAACAGAGTCTACATATGTTGAAGTTATACTACCTACAAAGAGGAAGAGTGATGCAGACCATGAGAATAGTTTAAAAAGTAGACGACAGTTACAATAGGCTCTTTTCCCAGCGCCGGTATTCTGTAAGGAGATTGGGCACGTGCCCTTCATCCCACACTTCCTGCTCTTAAGTGCATTTTGGGTCTTGTAAATGAATCATTATAATGTTCATTCCATACGATTCTTTTACCGGTACTTAATTGAGTGATCTGTTTTTATATATCCAACCTCTCGGATAAGAAGGAGACACGCACTTTGTCATTCGTGACTTAACATGTTGGCTGGTCGAGTGAGAGGGAACCGGGGTGATGACTCATTACGGAGAAGAAAATGATGGAAATGTCCCTTCTTTTGGTACACCTAGCCCCCAGCTAGGGATGCCCAACTCGAAGAGTCAATACCCTGCGCAGCCAAAAGATGGGTGTGAAAGCATGTAAATGACAACCTGCGTCCTTGTGTGTTCAGATACGATTAGCCGTGGCTTATCGCGAGAATCTCGAGGGACTGGGGGCTTGTGCGGCTCAACACCATGGTGAAACAGAAGATTGCTATTGGCGCATATTACCGTGACTTCTTTGAAACAGGAAGGCTGGCTTTCCCCTCCTTCTTCCCCACTCTCTGTGGTAATGTCTGATTTGAGCTCGTATGAGTTTAAGCAAACTCGTATAACCTCGCATACACTCCTTGTATTGTTTTCGATTGTTGGAGAAGCATTCGGGGCATTTCCGCACAATACGAGACTTCGCACAGGGCACGAGAACGCTAGTCCCCACACGGACCTTTTTGACAAGGCAGACACAATAGCAGGGTTGGTTCCTTGAAACTTGGAACAAGAAATATTGGTCGAGGCCAGCCAAGGGAGCAATCTCTAAGGCAGAGCTGATCAGCTAAGCAAAACTTAAAGTTTAACAATGCCCAATGATGCGAAGCCAAGCATCTGAACTTAAAATGTGAGGAACGTTGATCCCGTTAACTCTCTGTAACGTATTTAATATTTACTCGCTACGCACTGGTCAAGCAGCCTACCCCAAAGCGTCAATTCATAGCGGAGTAGCTTTGTATTACACTTCCCCACGTCAAGAGCATGTACAAGAAACTGTTGTGGGGTGCATCTTGGCATTGCACAAGAGAGTAGGTGTTCCTTTTAGATACGGGGAAAGAGGTTATTGAACTCGGATGATTTTGTCTAAGGCAATACCTGCTTCCGTATTCTCGGGCCGAAAAGTTTCCCGGAAAAGGCTATCATAGATTGGAAAAGGTTAGTCGAATTTGGAACAGAGAGCTGCTGCACTGATGGCCTTAAAAAGCCTATGATCTCCCTTCAATTGTGGCCTGTGTTCTACCGCATCTAAAGATTCAGCTGAAGTACAGGTGGTTCGTTGCAATTTCAACCTACATTATTCGAGGAGACTGCGCTTGCTTCTTCTTCCAGACCCAATCGCCCGGCTTGGTCTTGGAATTGCAACACTAGGACATTCTAGTGTCATTGAAATATCGCCCAACTCTCAGCATAGATTGTTTATCATCAACGGTTAGAATTTAGTTGTGGTCTTGACCGCGAAACCGAGTGCACCGGTCATTGTCATTCTCGGCCATGGCCGGAGCCTAGAGGGCTTCCCAACCTTTGAGGTCGTGGGCTCTCAAGGCAGCACTTCTGTGCTGGAGCTCACCTACGGCGAGTCAAGAACTGCTATTGATCAATACATGGTGTGTTGAGGTTCTTGTGTTGATTTATGAGATAGGTTCTTTTTGCTTACCAGTCTATGGCAATAGTCCTGTACCACTGGCTACGCAATAGACACGTACCGTATCAACTAGTACAAACATTATCGGGCTCGACTCGGAGCGCCCATGGCAGGGAAAATTTCGATTTATAAGTTATTTGAGGCTTCAGGAACCGATTCCGACCACAAATTCCGCCCTTTGCAGGGCGTGACACCAATAATAAACGATGATATTATTGAACTTGTATCAAGTGCCGTTATCCGTTATGGGGGAACCCAGCCAATCTCTTGTATAGGCCACTGAATCCATGTTTTCTGTTCATCATCCAGATTGGTCCAAACCTTGGAGATAAGAAACTCTCCCCATCCTTGTAGCCACCTATTGCCCTCCATTGTATTAAGTAAGATACAGCTATGAGCAAAAATAACAATAGCCTCCGTCTTCATCTGCCTTAGAAGCGGCATGAATGTTTCAGCAACTTCGAATTGCCAAACAAATGCATCCATAATATCCAACGCCTTTGTATTGGATGCAAGTGAAAAGCTTAGTTGACACCGCAGTTCGTGAATGGCGTGTCTATAGATACTTAACTCATGTTCGTCAGTCACTGACGACGTCACTCTTTCCTGTAGCAGGTCTATGATAGTGGACCTTTCATGCTGGGGTTCGTGAGAGGCGATCCAACGGGCAGTGCTGTGGTTGATAAAGGACGAAAGAATTCCCGACTTGGTGGTTTGTTGGATAAGCATGAGGAGATGCTTGACCCCCGAGAGGAGAAAAATCCAGTCTGGGAAACCAGAATCCCCAATAAGAAATGATGTCTTAGATGACCTGGGAGTCCCTAGTGCTAGATTTGTAGTACGTATTAGCTGTTAGCATCGAAGGAAGGACATATTTGGATCCGAAGTGGGACCAGGAGGATTAGTAGAAGGGAAAGTTAACACACCAAAGTACATAGTTAGGACACTAAAAATCCACAAGTTTTCACAATTCTCTGGCAGAGGATCCTTGAGGAGACGAGTTGCTGCGCTACTGGCAAGATGGTGGTGGTGAATGCCATGTCTCATATATGTCTCTCGGCGCTCTGGTCTAAACTGCGCGAGATGCATGGCTGACACGGCAAGGATAGAGCGCATAACATAGTCGCAATCTATAGCCTTGCGGATTACTGCTGTCTTCCACACAGTACGAAGAGTTGGATCGATGGAGAGAGTACAAAATGTAGTCGAGGTGAAATTGTGGAGCAGTTCCAAATCAATTAGGACAAGAGGGCATTCTGGTTCCAAGGAGGCACCTACAGCACTGGTGGTAGGTGCTTGAAAGTCGCATGTGACGGAGTGCTTGAGACAATTCCGGCACGCTGGCCGTGTCTCATCACACTGTTGATGTTGTTAATGCCAGAGAACACTAGGCAAGTAAACGGGCCTCGGGGTTGAGAAACAAGTTTGTGAGAGAAACCGGTACCTTGATCTTCCTCCTTTTGCAAGTTTTGCATCTAGTTCTCGTTTTGGCATGCGACTTTCTCACACTCGTGCGAGCTGGGGGGAAAATAGTTGTAGTAGTGTGCGTCTCATCTTGTTCGCGTTCCATTTTGAAGTCACGGTGCTCTAAGCGAGTGCGCTCTCGCATAAGTTCGCATTCGAATTTATCGTGGAAAGAAATGAATTGTCTACGTCAAGTTCCGAGAAAGTTGGGCTAACTAGCGAGAAAGATTGTGGGGCATTTGCACGAATTAGGTGTTGGAGTAGCATGGTTCTTCTTGCTGGTACAGACACTCTCAAGAATCTCGGGTAAATACGAAAAAATGCGAATACATGCGAATAATGCGGAACAATTGGGACCAAAGTCACCGTGTGAAAGCTACGACGCCAATGTCTCATCGCTGCCAGTCGGAAGAAGGATCCTTTGGACAAGGAGATTACTACCTCAGTAACATTCTAAGTACTATTAAAAGGGAAATTAATATAAATACCTGTTACTTATTCAGCTGCGATTTATACCATAAATTAATAAACTGCAGCCTGTGCACCAAAGACACGGGGGTGGGGGTTAGATTAATAGAAGTAACAATTAATATAGTTTATAGTATTAAATTAAGGTATATTAAATTAAATTATATACGATAGTAAATGCACCTTTAATATAATGTAGTAAATTGATAACTCCCGCTAGAGATATATTATAATATACCAGTAACATCCCTAGCATCAAGGAGTTGGAGGTATGTTGCTGGGTTGAGCAGTGTTAATAAAAAATAAATAGAAAGCAGGAAAGTTCATTTACCTGCAGCCTTCCAGCGATGACTATTTACTCTCAGGCTCTGCTTGATATCGTGGATTGCATTTTTGGCGTCCTCCGAGCCTGACTTTTGCAAAATTTGAGAATAGACAATGGCAGAGCGATAGAGCGCATCGTGGCAGAAAGGAGATATGTCATCATTTCCACTCAGCCCTGTTCGAAGAATGTAACGTGAGAGGCTTAGCATATCTGCCGCTGTAATTCTTTGAACTTCTACTACTATATCCGTCTCTAGAAGGGAGTTGTGCCGATCAATCCAAGCCATCTCTTGGTTAAGAATGAGTCGTGCGCTATAAACATTAATGCTTGACCAAACGAACTGGATGTTTTTGATTCAATACCTATGGCATATCGTCGTAGGACAGCACACTTTTATACCTCGTTTCACGCTCTCCTGTAGTGTAACCTTTGTTAAGGCGGCAATAGTATTATCGAGTATTCGTGCTTCATGTTCTAGGATACGATGTCCACTTTCTTGAGGACCAGTATATCTTAGTACCTTTCCCAACAAATACGCTGCTTGAACTGTTAGGCAGAAGCGACCCATAGCCTCTGTTGGAGGGGAGGACATGACAAGTGGAGGGTTGGGAGGCGGATACTACGTCAATGTTAGTAAATTCGCGAGCCGCGAGAAATTTATGGCAAAAGATTGGTCTTCAAGATCGCATACCCCCATTTGCCAAAGCTTGTCATCCATCGGAAGTACGCTCGTATTTCTGGGCTCTTCGATCAACAGAGCTCGTTCCGGGCAGCCGACGTTCAAGTATCTACATCAACGTTAGCACACATATACTTGAAAATCTTCCACCGCCTTGAATACCATACCGATCTAGAAGAATAATAGTCCACCATGTCCTCCTCTCCTCCTCCGAGCCATCTAGTTTAGATGAGTAGAGGGAATCGATTGTTCGGTCGATGCCGAGTGCAATGCCATATCTGGCGCAGTAACCGACTGTTAAGTAGGCTGAAGGATAAATAGCTTGCCCGAGTTCATATATCGCAACGAGAACAAGTGCTTGTAGCGTTCTAAATGTCAAGCTGCCACTCAATTCTACCTCCAGAAATGATCTCTTGAGGCTGCAATACATAGTAGAACTCGCATTGGCATCGGGCTCTGTTGTGATGAGCTTTATAGCAGCTATGAGAAGTACATTTTCACAGCGCCGTCCACTGAGAGGATTTAAAATCCTTTCCATGAAATTCCTTCTACATATAAACGGTGCCCATGGGTAATTGTAACGAAAGAACGCCTCGGTGAATTTTCTCACAGTGGCCACATCCTCGACGAGGGACAGCAAGTCAGGGCTGATGGGAAGGTTTGCATCCGGCAAACTGCCTACAGATCGCCAGAACAATGCTGAGTCGGTGAAATATACGGCGGGGAACCCATTTTGGTCCCGCTGGACTTTGGTGGGGGTGGTCGACAGCGCCCCACTCAAAGATTCGGGTGAGGTTCCAAGAACCAGGCTGTTCCTCGTGTTCTTATACACGCAGACACGATCATATCTGGCCGGTGAAATTAGTGTGCCATATTAGCAACTCTGCGTGACGGAGCCACACACCGCTGACAGAGGGAACACTGGGGTTGGCGCCTATCGCATTTTTTCTTCTGGTGTCGACATGTAGAGCAGGAGTAGCGCGACAGTCGGCTAGACTGGGTAAGTTTGTCATCTATTATCACCATTATTCAGGTGCCCTACCGACCTCTCGTCTCAGGCAATCTCAAAATGCATGGATAAAGGATGGACGGGCCGCATGTAGAAAGTTTATCACGTCCACGGCTTGAGTCGAGCGGACATTTAAGGCGGAGCGGACAAACAGTCGGGGGTCGCTTAGTAACCACCGACCGCTAATGCGAAGTCCGATAACTATGACGCAGCGGGCTGCTTCTCGAGATTATTCAGTGGCGAGTCATATCGCTGCCTTCTGTCTTAACCGAGGTTCTCGACACAAAGAGTCCGCATTCGGTGGTATTAGCTACTGTATTGTATGGTAAGGTACTACCCCTAGGGTATCAAATGTAAGACAGAAAGAGATGAATGATTACAGATTAGGTTGATCCCATCTCTCTCTTCCCCATGACATCAAAGAGCATCGGGCATGGGATCACTTAGCGTAGACGTCCTCACGTGCTACTGTACTGAAGCTACCTGGGATCCGTCTGCAGCTATTCAAATGCATGATCACCAATTTCCACATATTCCCTTACAATCGTGGCATATAACGAAGTGGGAACAACACTACATAGACCGAGTTTACTCACTAAGACTAGGTGCCGCAAGAAACTTCACTAGACTAGCAACCATAATAAACTTCAAGCTCCTCAAAAAATGAGGTGTAGAGAATAGAGTGAGAAAGTGAGACAAATAAACTCGACTACTCTCGTCTCCTAGTACTACCGAAAAAAATAATACTATACTGCAATGCGAACGATCTGTGCTCAATGATACGTTAAAATCCGGCGTATTAGGCTGCTGCAAACGCTTGGGCTAGAGTACCTGCAGCAATCCACATCCAGCAGTGTGTAGCAGAGTCCCGGTCGGCATTGGTCGGACTTTCATCCGACTCCCAGCTCCCGCTACTCGCGCTGTAATCTGGGGAATCCTGGGGAATCAGCCATTTCCAAAAGATGCAAACAATAGAGTATTACAAACCAGAAAACTATGACGACATGTAATGGCGTCTTCTATACTCAAAGGAATATTATCGAGGGGAGGCTATAGAGAGCAAATTTGCTATATATATACCGGTCGTCTTGTTCTTTAAGTCTGTTCTGCTTCAGTTTCTTCAGCATCATCTTCAATCAACAAGCATTTCCAATCAGCAATAACAGACTTTCCGCACTTACAATATTACTAGCAATGGCACTATTCACAACCATCAGGACTCCCACTGTAACATATGAGCAGCCCCTTGGACTGTGAGTATCAAGATTTTCCAATTACACTCACTTCGATCACATCTTCTAACTTCTGTTGACAGCTTCATCAACAATGAGTTCGTGAAGGGGGCCGAAGGCAAAACAATTGAAACTTACAACCCTACGGATGAGAAACTCATTACCTCTGTCCACGAAGCCACCGAAGTGGATGTTGATGTTGCTGTTGCCGCAGCACGCAAGGCTCTCCAAACCACATGGCATCAAATCACCCCATCCGAGCGCGGACATCTGCTCATGAAGTTGGCGGATCTTTTCGATCGTGATTTCGAAACTCTTGCGGCTATTGAATCACTTGACAACGGCAAGGCATTGAGCCTAGCGAGGATAGATGTTGCCGGCGCTGCTGGTTGCCTGCGATACTATGGTGGCTGGGCAGACAAGATCCACGGTCAAACAATCGAAACGGATCCTAACTCTCTCAACTACACTCGTCATGAGCCCATTGGTGTCTGCGGTCAGATCATCCCATGGAACTTCCCTCTTCTTATGTGGGCTTGGAAGATCGGCCCTGCTGTTGCGGCTGGTAACACTGTCGTTCTCAAGACTGCTGAACAAACTCCTCTTTCTGGTCTCTACGCCTCCGCATTAGCAAAGGAGGCCGGTTTTCCTGCTGGTGTAATCAACACCATCTCCGGCTACGGTCGTGTTGCCGGATCCGCGATCTCCAGCCACATGGACATTGACAAAGTCGCCTTCACTGGCTCTACCCCTGTCGGACGAACTATCCTCCAAGCTGCAGCAAAAAGCAACCTCAAGAAGGTGACTTTGGAACTCGGTGGCAAATCACCAAACATTATCTTCAACGATGCCGACCTAGACAATGCCATTAAATGGGCAAACTTCGGTATCTACTATACCAGCGGACAGATCTGTTGTGCAGGCTCTCGTATCCTCGTGCAGGAAGGTATCTATGACGAATTTGTTAAGCGATTCAAGGAGCGTGCGCTAAAGAACAAACTTGGTAATCCTTTTGACGAGCAGACTTTTCAAGGTCCTCAGGTCTCACAGCTACAATTCGACCGGATTATGGGATATATTGAGGCTGGTAAGCAGGCTGGTGCGACTCTCGCTTTGGGTGGTGGACGATACGGTGACAAAGGCTTCTTCATTGAACCGACTGTCTTCACCGACGTGACACCCGAAATGAAGATCGCTCAGGAGGAGATTTTTGGTCCTGTTGCAGCCATCCAGAAGTTTAAGGATGAAGAAGAGGCCATTAGTATTGGAAACAACAGCAACTATGGTAAGTATAATCTACTGCTTACCACTTATCCGGGGCACTGTATCCTAACATGGAAACACAGGTCTTGCCGCTGCTATCCATACTAGCAATGTCAACACTGCTATCCGCGTCTCAAACGCTCTACAGGCCGGGTATATTTAATAACATTCTTCGTTGCATTGAACGTAACTAACGTAATTTATAGCACCGTCTGGATCAACCAGTACAATATGCTGTCCTACCAGACTCCATTTGGTGGATACAAGGAGTCAGGTATTGGTCGTGAGCTCGGTTCCTACGCCCTTGAGAATTATACCCAGATCAAGTCTGTGCGGTATTCATTAGTTGATGCTCCATTTTCTTGAACATGTTCAAATGGGTTGTTATGCACGGAATATTGTAAGATGGGTAGTTGGCATTACCTAGATTGTAATGTTGTAATTTTCATATAGTCATGAATTAATAATTCTGTTCGAGTTGTTGTTTAAAAGTGAAAGTCAAGGTGAAATTTAATAGTTGATATGAACACTCTTCTAACAGTTATTCTTCCTAGACATTAGTTAAATTGCACATAGTGACGTAATTAAATGATGGAACAATCCTAATACTCGATCCTTAAATTAATAGAATATTAATATCGATCTCGCGATGACCATTCTTGGCATTGAGAAACTCATCTACAAATTTATTGAATCGGTTTCGTACAGTGTATCTACTTTTAGAGGATACTTTTGTTCTCGACGGTAATGGTCGCGGAATGTAGCTGTAGATGTGGCAATCGGGTGAATTCGCCCAGGCCAAAGAGCCAGTGGAGCTTTGCCACCTTGATGTATCATCCACCATTTACAACCGCAAATTGATTGTAGTTTCAATTGTAGATATATCAACACTAAGTCCTAATCATAATTTATAATTAACCCTCGTCCTGAGACTTTTCTCTTGAATGTTCAATGGCAGAAGTCACAGACACAATACCACCATCCATAACCTTTTTACAATTCTTCTTTTTGTCATTCTACTGGAACTAAAAAATGGATTGCTATGGATGTAGCTAAGGAGACGAGAACAAAGTAAGATATAATTTCGGACCCATTCTACTATTGGGAGCTTCAGAGGCTAGAAAAGCGGAATTAAGCTAATGCACAGCTTCGGTATAATTCCCAAATACAATCAAGGGTTATGTAAGCCCTTAAATAACAAAGGATAAGTTTAATTTAGCTCCAGGTATTTATTGATAAATACTTATTCTGACTGCGACTTGTATAGCCTATAGGACTAGGTATACTTTCTTGAAAGTTCACGCCGCCTTATTACCTCCGTAGACAAGTTTAACTTGGCTAAATCGAAACTTCCGATGAAATTGCAATCCATAGGCTGTACTAGCTGTCACCAGGTCAGGGTTGCTTGCGATGCACGAAAGACACCAACTGGTCAATGTTGTCGTGCAGATTAAAGCAGCTGGACTATCAATTTGATGCCAACTTCAAGCGCGTGTCGACAAGGAGGTTGGTCAATACGCTGGTCTCTAGCCTTTGTACCGCCATTCTCACCAAACAGAATTACAGAAGAAGTTGACCAAGAGTTGCACGCTATGCGCTCTGGCGAAGATGCTGCTTATAAAAAGCCATTTGTTGTGAAAACAATCCTATCTTCTCATATTATATGGCATGGGTACTCTTAACCTTGATGCTCAGACTACCATTGAACTATTCCAATAGTATATATTTCCAACCCTCTATTATTATATTTGTTAACTAAACTCCCAGCTTCGGCTTACACTATTACCCCCACGCCATATTTTGGCAACCAATTACCCAACTTTATGATCTGCTTCGTCAGTCACGCTGCTTTTTTGGACCATTGTGCTTGTCGCCAGTCAAGAGCATGATCGCTTTACGGTCATTTACCGCGAAGTATCTGCTGGTCATGAGGAACTCCTCTCACCCATACTAGGGTAAGCGAATTGAAACGATTCCTGCTTTACTCCTTCTTTGTCTGGCCACTCCCTCAATCTCGATATTATTACAATCCAGCTTTGAACCATGTAGGCCTTACTGTCCATGAAGCAATTCAACTACAATGCTATAGCTCCATGCCTTCTGATAGACACCAAAATATGTGGCCCGGTTTCGGCCTCGTGCCTGAGTGTGAAGTGGATGAGATAGACTAGGCTTGGACATGGCTAGGCTGCTTCCGAGTGGGAGCTTCGTGAGTACTTGTGGAGATGTACATGCAAGATGGACAAACACTAACAGCTCTTGCAGAATTGCTACAATTTCCGGCATTCCGTCGAAGTCCATTGATGAAGTTCTCAATCACAACCCTCAAGATTATGATCTCCGCGATTGACAACTCTATAAATAGGCGTAAATATACGAGTATTATATTATGGTGCCTTTTAGCCTTAATTATGCCCAGGAAAATTGTAGCGCACTTTGTTCAAATAATGATGTTCGCTCTAACTGAAATGCTCTCCCATGCTATACTTTATCCTCTGTAGTATTCTTGCCTTTTACCGAAT